TAGATGAAAATATAATAGTCAAACATCCTAAGTCTGCTTCTTTGGGTATCTATTTATAAAATACACTCAAAGGAAGGGCTCTACTTCCTCACTGTCATCACCACTTAACGGTAATCATCACAATGTTTAATTCAGTTTGATACTATGTTAGGCAGTATAGGTAGAATCATTTGTAAAGTTATAATCACTGCCCCATGAGAGATGAGAAGATGACAATAAGATGGATTCAGCCACACAGAACACAGATTATGAAATCTATGCATCAGGTAGAATTTCTATAAGGAATGTAGAAAAATAGTATATTTTAAAAGTTATGCGCTAGTAATATGCTTTAGGCTTCAACATACAATTATATACACCATACACCAATGTACAAACCATCAAATATGGCAAAATAGGTAAGAAACCTGACAACCACAAACAGAAGTTGACATGTCTATTAGGGGAAAATTAAAGAATTTCAGAAGTCCATAAAAAGCTAGGAAGACAATGAGATAACTTACTTTTAACCAAATTCCTTTATTTCTTTCTTTACTTAGTATTCATTGAGTTCTTACAGTGTGCCAAACAGCACCGTTTTGCTGAGTTCAATAATTCATGAGGGACGTAAAATGGTCAAAAAAGAAATCACATTGATTCCTAAAGCACTTTCATAACAAAATTTGCAAATCAAGTAAATGGATGATATATTGTTAATAAAATATTTCAAAACTTATTTTTTAAAATCAGAGAAAAATTTGAAAAGATATTACCTGAATTATCTTTTGATGCTATCACTGGAGACATTTTGGAGTTTTATTGTGGTCATTCTTTTGTTGCAAATAGACTATATGACCCATTGTATTTAACTTTGAGGGTGCCGTTAATCTGCTAACTCTAGATTATATGAAAATAGATGATCCAAATCACTGTCACATTGAATCCCCAATCTGACATTGAGTTGCTGGAAAGGTAACTAAGAGGAATATGTTCCAAGCAAGGCTAGCAAAATAAGTGTCATGGGCATGACTACTACAGGTGCATTTCCACATCATTTCCATTAGGTACCTGTAAGTCCACAGCTATCACTCCAAGTGATTTTAGGATCACTCTGCCCTCCCATAGAGACAGTTAAGAAGTGTCACCCAGGTTGATTAGTCTATAATAGTTGTTCATGTATCCCATTTGCCTGGGACAACACAGCTTATACCTTTTCTGGCATAATTATTGATAGCTTTCACTGACACTTTCAAAAAAAGACCCCAATTAGGGATGATTAATTACACAGGTCCCCTTACTATACAACAGGTTGTATATATACTACAGATTGTATATATACTACTATATAACCTATATCACATACCCTGAGCCCTGAATTAGAATACATTTGAATCCTGAGTCAATACCAGAAACCAACTGATAATGAGGCAAAGTTTTGCTGGAATTTATAATCCACCACTTCCATGAAATGGGCACAGTTTTTAAAGAAACCATCTGAATTGGCTACTCTGCCTGATTCATGGCTTGTGATTATACAACCTATCAAACCTATCAGAGACCTGGCCAAGATCCCCAGTCTCCCAAACGGCAAAGGCTTAAATAAATGAGACAAGTTGCATGATTTTAGAGCTCCAGGAATATCAAACCCTCTAGCAGACTTCGAGACTCTGGGGGCCGAGACAAAGAGCTTCTGTGGGCTGCTCATATTAAGTTTTCAAACAAAGAGAGGGGATAGATACTGAGGAAGGCACAGGAAATGAGCAGGATCTTGGGAGTCACTTCAAAGACTTCTCCAAGTAGTGAATTACACCAGTGTAGGAGAACCGTCTTGTCTCCAAGATGACGTTTATGGTGAAAGTGAGACAACAAGAGAGAAATGCCTGCAGTGCAATCTCTGTCTATTAATTGGGGCTGGAGCCAGGCATCCGCAGCCGTGGCCTTATCTTGCCCTTTGAGGTATCTCTGGCATCACGGGCCACTACAGGCCTCCGCCAGGACCAGAGATTCACAGTGGTTCACTTACTGTGCGTCAGCTCCCATCGCCAGGTGAGGGGCTGAGGCCTACGACACACTCACGGATACGCATAGAAAGCCAATTAGTTCATTTCAAACCCCTCAGCGCTGCTTCATGGTGATCTACAGCACAAACCAAACCTTTCCTCCACTTGCACCCATTGCCCTTACTAAAAATTCCCAGGATATAGCAAGTTCTACTGGCTTCTATGCAATCCTTGACTCTGCTCCAAACTTTTTAAAAACAAAATATCTTTACTAACCTGGGTAACTACTAGTACCTTTTACCTTCAGCCTTGTTTCTAAGAACCACTCAATAAAAACTGAAATGCCTGAGTCATCTAGTCAAACACCTTAATGGTTGGCCTAATTCTTTATATCTAGCTATTTATCACTGTGTAGATTTAAAGAAACCCAGAAAACAGACAAACGTCAGGCCAATGCATGTTTGTGGAGAAAAGCACACAGGTACCCAAGGAAGCAAGTAACATCCACACTTAACTATTTCTTCCTTTCCTAGTAACTTTCAATCCATCTTTATGTTCTTTTAACAGCAGCTAATTGGCTATGTCTACAGCCTAGATATTCTAAAGATCAGAGCCAGATCTTCCCATAAAAAAAATCTCCAACCAACAGTTGCTTCCAGCTGGATCTCTTGGACAAATAAAGTTAGATTTTAAGACAGAATTTGCAAGGAGATAGTACATCCTGCCAAGACCTGTACAGCATCTCAGGAAGTTTTTGCTCCATGGAAAATCCATCCGGGTGATCATAGAATACGAGATAAGAGAAGAATTTGAAATAAGTTTTTGTTCATTACATTTGTTTAAAAAACAGTTGATGCTTGCCAACACATTATTAGCAAGAATGGAAGTACTTAAATAAACATTCACAAGTTGCACCAAAGTATCTTGACTGTTTTTGCATTTCCAAATTTTAACTTGTCATGTTTGAAGTCATGACTTTAACACACTTGTGATTTTTTTTCCCATATTACACAGGCAAATTAAATAAATGTTGTGACTGTACCTAACAGAATGACTCCTATAAGCCTATCACACAGATGGACTCAAAAACTGTCACATAATTTGACATCGTCTGATAAGGAAATGGTTGTCTACAACATCCATCTATCTCTGACAAACAGAATGGTTTTCAAGTTGGAAAGAAGGAATATTAAAAAAAAACAAACAAAAAAAATCTGTGTCCTGCAATACAGACTCCATGGATACTTATATTCCTTAAGAAGGCTTGAGCCTGGGAACTTTCTCCCTTTATCAGCCAGCATAAAAGTTATTTCCAGAAGAAGTAAGGAACAATGGAAGACTTTCATTTACAAAAGAAAGTTTAATGGCACAGTCTGCAGGAACTTTTATTTATGCTGCACCTGGCATCATTTTTAACTATCTGTGGAACAGAGCTGCCTATGCCAGTGCCAGCAAGGAAATGTTTTTGTGTCTAACACACAAACTTTTGTCATGAACCTATGAACCCAGCAGCTCCCATCAGAAACAGTGTCTACCGGACTCTGGCAGAGACAGCACACCTGCCTTCAGGGTCTGCCTCTCAACTTCTGCTTGTATAGAAAGCTCTGTAACTTACGCCGTTTCACAACACAACTGACAAATCTCAGGGTTTCCTCAGGTAAAACCTCCTTTGAATTAGCCTTGCACTTAGCAGCTGGATAAAGCTGAATTGAGAAAATCTTTTCACTCATTGCATAGCTCCTCTTGGTTAAAAACATTTTGGAAATTTTAATTTTCAATCTCTAACTTCATCTAAAAGTATTATTTTTTCCTTTTCTTCTTTGAACCAAAGAAAATGTGATCCATGCATATAGGTTTGTCTTTAACAAGGAGAAGTCCAGTTGTTCAGCCAACCTGGTTCAACACAGGATTGAGAGTCCAGAAACTTGGTTTCTAGGACCAAATCAATTACATGCCAGTTCCTGGATTTCTTTGGACATGTTCTTTCATCTTTTTCTTCATCATAACAGCATAACATAAGAATCTTGGCTACCATCTTTCTGGATTCCCATTCTAGCTCTCAGATACATCCATGAGTCTCTAGGACAAGCCTAACTGTACCACATGAGTGCTTGAGTTAGACATGACAAGCATGTTTCAGATGCACTTAAAGAAAGTTGGAGCTTCAAAACCTTTAAGTTCTGACCATCAGCCCAGTAAATGTACAGACCTAATGATCAGATGCATCCAGGTAGGAAGTTAGCTTAGTGTTAGGACACAGTCTGACCATGATATCCAGTGGGAAGTTATATGCTTGTTTTACTCTCAAAGAAATGAAGATACTGTCGCTATCTGTGATGTAGCCTTCTAGGGTTCAAAACAAAGAAATTAACCTCTATTCAATTTTAAGTCAAGAAAAACAATCTTTATAAACATGAAATCTGGGCCAAGGATGTAGCTCGGTGGTACAGCACCTACCTGGCAACTATAAAGTCTCAAGTTCAATTCTCGATACAGAAGAAAAAAAAAAGAAAGAAAAAGAAATCTTAAGATTTCAAGAACCGGGGTGGGGATTTAGGTTGGCAGCACAAGCGCCTGCTTGGAAGGGAAAGGTAGTGAGTTTGATCCCCAGTACCAAAGAAAAAAAAAAAAAAAGATTTTAAGAATCACTTCTGGTTAAATATACCATATGGTAAGAGTTTAGAAACTAACCATAACAATTGTGAACCCAAATATTAAAATCACACCTTTTTCCTTATGATTTTCACCCTTTTAAAATCCAGTTTATTCTCCCATAGTAACAAGCCCATGATTTTAAAAATGGGAATCATAAACCTGCCCCTCTTCACTAAAATTAAAATCTCTCTTTCTCTCACACCCTCTTGTTTTTACCATGGAATCGCTTGCAGGATGCCCAGCTTTCCAACTGCTGCAGCCCAATCCAGGTCAGCCAAGAGCAAAACTGAATTTACCACAGGACACCGAACTGCCAGAGTGTCGCAGTAAAGGACACAGTTTCCGGTTCCAGAAAGCCTTCCTTACCTACAGAGGGACTGCTTGCAGGAGAGCTGCACATGTTCACTTCTGGGGTCCGTTTTCATCCATTCCAGTGGCTGCCAGCAGTCGTTCATTCCCAGCGGAGCCCGAGCATTTCCGGGCAGGTAGGCCACAGGCCGAGCATGCACAGCTTTCCTTTGTCACCGGAGCTGATAGTTATGCTCTGACTTTCCATGAAGCACACATTTAGTTGAAGCCAGGGCAGGGTGGGACAAAAAAGAGGTACACAGATGAATAGTTAGTTTTTATGTCCTGTAGGGACACCCTTGAAACATGTTAAAAATGTCAGTCAGGACAGCTGGTCAGCTGTCCTAGTCCATATTGGGGTTTTTAGGCTACTGTTATGCCCCAATATGCTTTGAACATTGCCAATATGCTTTCTCCACAGAAGCAGCAGTGTGTCCCCTTTGGTTTCTCAGCTCATCCCCAGCACTAGAATTTATAGTGTCACGTACATGGTAAAATGAAAAACCACATACTGTATCTCATGTGTCTGGCTAATGAAATGGGTCGGATCAACCTTGTACAATCAGGGACAGGAGCGATTGGCTTGGGTTGGGTTCATCTTGCAGACTGCAAAAGAATCAGCTGTCACCAGTGCCATGCGGCAGATGGACAGTTTGCATCCGATTTCTAGTCAGGCGCCAAACCCTTTAGACGCTTTGGCAGACTGAGCACCATCAGGCAGCAGCCTTTGATGTTCTGCAGATGGCTGTGGCAGCCATCTTGCCTCTGCATCCTGAGAGGCCTGCGTCTTACTCTCAGGCGGCGTTCACTCAGGCCTAGGCCCATGGTCAGTCAGAGAAATGGGCCATGACAGAGTCTGACAGGCTCTCATCGCCAGCCAGAACCTTCACCAGCTTCCACTTCCTACCTGCGGAGCAGCTACATGTTCTTTTGAAAAATTCTTAAATGTTTTTTAAATTCTTTTAAAAAGCAGATAGGAAGGGAGGAAAGAAGGAAGGAAGGAAAGGAGGGAGGCAGAGAGGGAGGGAGGGGAGAAGAACACATACAACTCTGGTCTGATTCCTCCTACTGAGATTTTTGGAGGTAAACATGCTCTGCTCTTCCCAAGCCCCTAGTCCAGTCTCTGGAAGCTAACCATTCTTCTTCCCTAGTAAGAGAGAGATTCCACATCCTGCCAGACCTTTCACGTACATCAACTACTGTGTAGACAGTGTGAGAATCAAACAAAATCAGGAGGGAAAAAAGATAAAAGAAAGAAAACTAAAGCATAGGTTGCTTCTGTTTGCCCTCTAGACCTTCTGAGGCAAATACCATAGTGCTTCCCAGGCCCCGGTCAATTTCAGACTCCTTCATTCCCTGGTATTGCCACCCAAAGTGGCAGCAAGCGGTAATTTCAGATAATCAGGATTGCCGTTTCAAAGGTTTTTATTGGGTGTCCATTTTAAGACACCCTCAGAGCTCTGCTTCATCTGGGTCTGACTTCCCCTAAGCTCTAAAGCTTCCTGATGGTGAGACTAATCTCATACAGCAAATAGCCCAGAGAGATCTGTCAAAAAGCTGAGCCTGAAGGTCTTCCAAATAGAGCCCTTGCACATTTGGTAGGAGTAGGTAGGAATTCTGACTGGCACAATTAGGAAGAAATCATGTAACTACACCACAAAGGCCAGGGCAGGACACTTCCACCAGAAGAGTAACAGGGAAATTTGTACTTCATTCCACACCCCCTGGATTGAGTGAGGCAGAGAGCGAGAAGTTTAGTGCAAGTGACTGACAAAAACTGAAAACAAACTCAGTGGAAATAAATTCAATAATGTGTGATTTCCAGCTACTCAAAAGTAATAGAAATATTTGGTAAAAATATATAGATATAAATTGCCAATTAATGCAAACTGGTTAAAGCCAGTAAATGGAAAAAAATAAAAAGTTAATTAGAGCTTTTTGAAGCTTTGTTATATATACATCATTTGCAGGTGCTACAAAAGTGAAAAATAACCATTATAATTACTAGTATTCAAAGATTCATATTTTTCCTGTGTAATTTATTTAGGATTATCAGTTTCCTTGTAGTTATACAAAAGCCCTGTCAAGGTGTTTCCCACGTGTTTGGCTCATGTAAAGTTCCAAAAACAAGCCAGAATGCTGTTGTGTTTCACCCAGTACAGGGAAGCTACTCTGAGGAGGGGGAGAAAAAACAGGCCAAGTTTTACCTGGATCTCTATCTTGGTTAAATTATCTTACATATGTTTTAATTTTTTTTCTTGTTCGCTCTGTCTTTATCTTTTTCTCTCTCTTTGTTAAAATACATCTGTGTTTGTTGACTGCCCCAGATTATATCTAAGTGAAGAGTGGGTGTACTAGCACCTGGTATAGTATATGTAGCTTAACAATACATATCATTACATTATTTACAGCTCATTTTGTGTTATTCAATAGTAAACTGCAAATTAACCCTTCAACAACTGGTCCAGGAAAATGGTCTGCTAGGCATGAGATATCCAATGAAGCTTTTTTTCCCCCACCATAATTGTTAAGAGTACATCTATAACTGTATTCATAAACATGGAAGTGTGTTCATTATGGCAAGGATGTCCACCCCAGCCTGCTAATTCCTCTCTCAGGAAATCTGTTTCATAATGATATTCCTTACTACAACACACTTGTACTTATGCTGATAACACAGGTTATAAAAGGGATTTAGGATGGGAGTCAATTAATGTACTGGCTCTTTAACCTCCTTTATTAGAGTACACTAGGCACCACGGGGACTGCATGCTATGCTGCTGGCAATAGAAAGACCCAAGTGATATCATTTCATGCCATCTCAGCCTGTCCTCAGTTCTCAGGACTACACATCATGACCTGACCTCATTAGGCACTGATTCAGCTGCAGGCAAAAACAGGGGGGGAGCAGGCGAATGTGGGCACCAAGAAAGAGCCTCTCTCACACCTGAGAAAGTGAAATGGCCATCACCCAGACCAACCCAGGGCCCCTGGTACGTTTTACTGATTTTTTAGGCAATGAAGTTCTGCTGACTGGGGGGGGGGACTGAAAAGCCAGGTTTGGGGAAATTGATGCCCAGAGAAGCATGAACTAGCCTAAAGCCACCCAGCCTGTAAGGAGCAAAACCAAAGCTAGAGAATTCAGAATTTTTGATTCCTAAAAGGGATTCCCAGCTCATCTCCTCCTCTTTCTCAATATTAAATGAGGGCATTTATTAATAAGAAATCATTAAAAATTGTACCTAGGAAAAGTAAAGGACTAGAAGTATAAATATGAATAAATTGGAAGGAAGAATGGCAAAATTTTACTCATAAACTGGATTGCAAGAAGGAAAGTACAAGTTTTAAGTAAGCTCTTAGCTAATAAGAAATTTGGTTTCTCTTTTTCTCCTCTAATTTACAAAATACACATGTTGGGCCAAAAGCAAACACATTCTTAATAATGTGAAGCTTTCTAAAAGACGGATACAGTATAATCTGAGGTGAGAAAGAATCCTATCCTACTTTACTATCCAAATGCTACTGCTAACCTTTAAAGAACCCAACAATGCCTTCTTGCTGAATTAATCAGTCTCAAGATTATCAGCAATTTAGCAACATTTTGTTGGTAATTAGTTTGATAAATTAAGATCTGTAATAGAAAACACGACATCCTATTGTTCCCGAAGTTTTATGCTGTTTTCTAAAAACAGCAGCTTTATTTTAAAATGTTCATTTCTATTGCATGGAGACAAACAACAAAACTCAAAGTTTGCCGAGTCTGGCGCCAGACAACAACTGCCTGCCCCAGATCCACTGGGCAAAATATCAAAGACTAGCCATTCATAATGCAAACTTCAAACATGTGGTTTAAAGTAATATCCAAATTCTAGGACTGTGGGCAATGGCTTCTGGACAGTGAGAAACCATCAGTGTAATTCCTTCGTGTTTCCTTCTTTTCTATAATCATTGAATAAATGAGCTGGTAGAGAAATACTATTAAAAATGGTGAAACAGAGAGATATTTCCATGTTAATCGAATGGTTCTGTGGGTATTAGGAGTGCAAAAATGGTAAATGAGGAGCCAAGCTCTTTTGCATCAAAACTGTCCACAAACAGGATGATTTCTTGGGGCTAATTTCCACTCCGGGGATAGTGAAAGTTATTTTAAATGACCAAAGCCATTTCATAAGGGTAAGAGCACATCGCCATGTCCACAAGGTCAGAACTGCTTATTCTCAGAGATTTGAAATGCCCCAGAAGCGCCAGTGATACAGTTCCCTCCCATTCAAATGAATGGAAATGAGAAAAGGTATCTCCCTCTGAAATACACTAAAAAATATAGCAATTACCTGATACAGATGTGGTGTTATAAACTCCTGTTCCAAAGCAGTCTGTTTCAACCATGATTTCCATTGCAGAAAACTGTACTAATAGAAACATCCCTATTAATCTGAATTTGAGATATTTCATACAATGTATATTACCTTTCTGCTGCCTGCAACCTTCTGCCAGGTTTTTTTTTTTCTTTTTAGGAGGTGCTTTGAGGGGACCATACTATGAGAACAATACACAGCTGCTGCTGTATAGAGATATCTAATTGTCAATATTGTAGAAATTCTACAGCTTATTACGTGCATTCAGTCTAATTCTGGGCAAATTGCCAGTCACTTCAGGGACAATCAAGTGAGCCACATTACACGTGGTACAGCATCACAGCTTTAAGATACCCGGCTGTTTTGCCTCTGGCCAGAGAATGTTTGTACCCATGCTACCGAGTGAAGGGGGGTAACCACAAATAAAATAAAATTTGTATTTTTTCAAGTGGGCTGCATTTCAAGCCCAGATGTTAGTAATGAAAGATTCAATTTAAGGATTTAAATTACAAATAAATAAAGTATGAAACAGATGTGATTTTTAAGGAAGTTCAAATTATCCAGGAAGAAAAATATCTCTGTGCATGACAAAGTAATAGGGATTGTCTTGAAGAGTCTGTTGAAAACAATCTGCTAAGCGCAATTCACCCTTAGGACAGGATTGGTTTGGAATGGGAAGGACTGGTGGAGCTTGTCATTAAACAAAAATTGTGTTTAATAAAACTTTATAACCGTGATTAATCCTATGAGGCCCTAAAGGAGTTTGCAGTTTCTGATAAACACATTTTCCTTGTTTGCAATGGTAATGATATTTCGAAGTGAATGGAATAAGAACAATAAAAAAAAAACTCTAAGGGTAGAAAAAAGAGGGTTTGGCAGGTATATAAAATTACAGAGACATGAAAGAGACACAGACCACCCATTAGGAAAGTGCACTGATGTGTGTGTGTGACACGTGTGCCATAGAAGGGCATAAATATGACTGAGAAACAAAGCTATGAGCAGGCAGTCATGGAGCACATCTTTATTTACACAGACAAGCTAATAAGGCTGTTTTATTCTAAGCTGATCATTAGGTTTGCCTATCAAAAAGATGACAGTGATATAAGACACAGTGTCTCATATTTGGAGACTATTCTATGAAAATGAAATCAGAAGGGACCATTCAGAGCTTCATTGTCCAGTACAGTAGCCATTAGTCACATGTATCTATTTAAATTTTAATTTTAATCAATTAAAATTAAATACATTTTAAATTCTATTTTCCATCATGCTAGTCACATTTCAAGTCCTGGACAGCCACATGTGGCTAGTGGCTACCCTAGTGGAAATGCAGATAAAGAACATTCCATCACCACAGAAAGGTACATGGACAGCGCTGCTCAAGAACAATGAAAGAGATAAGAGTTTGAGTTCTTTCCAGCCACTGGCCCTTGTACTACTTGGCTTCCCCTTATCACTCTGAATGTCTTGCACATCCATGTGTGCAGACACAAGTTTATATCCTGATATTCAAACAAGGATAACAAAAATGATTATTACACTAATCCTCTGAGGTCTTACAGGAAAACACATACATAAACCCAGCTCTGAGAGCCTGATCTCTCACGTGGTGGTCATTTGTCTCCAACAGGTGACTGAGGACAAATACCATCAGAGATTCCTTCTTGACGCGCAGGTCGACAGGTGCCAGAGCGCCAGCAACCATCCCCACCTAACCAAGCGCCACAAAGCTAAGTTATTTTGTAGCAACTTGGACCTTGGGTAACACAAACTTCAAAACAGACCTAGAATAGAAAAACTAGGTCACAGAAGTGTTACTTTTTTGACACACAAGCACCAACAATGTCATATAGTGGTGGAAATCTTATCTCTTGGGCATCTCCCCTAGTGCCAACCGAGCACCACACAAAGCCACCCTGGAAGAACAGCACAGCTTCTTTGTGCACAGGGCATCACCCACGTGCTCCGTGAACTTTTGCTGACTCCTTGGAACTGCCAGCAGCCATTTCACTTGGATTCTGGCTGTGACAAAAGCAGCACTGCCTCCCTGGCATCAGATGGAAAATGCAATTTTATGAAAACTCAAAAGTCAACATCTTTCAAAAGTCAAAACTTTCAATATGTGCCAAAGTAATTACTGAAAAACTTTCACAGGGACTTCAAATTCTGAGAGCACTTTCAAAATGTATACATTTTTCTCTGCAGTAAAATAGGTGCTTTTGTGTTATTTCCCACACAGACTTCCTTGATTCTGTTTACTGAATGATTTTCCTCTCACAAATTACATACAGTTCTTTCTCAAATGTTAAGGTAATGCAAATATTGAAGAAATCCTAGGATATTGGAGATAGATGGGACTCTAGAGATGGTCAAGCCCAAGGTTCCTGAATGAGGTCCACAAAACAAGTAGAGGATTCATGAAGGGGCAGCAGGGAGCGTGTGAATCTTACTGGATATCAAATTGGATATGGATGTTTTCTGAGAAAGTTCAAAGCTTCACTGACCAAATCATCACAGACCAAAGGAAAACCAGAACCATGGCTCCAACCCATTTTAAATAAGAAAACTGAGGCTCAGAAACAAAGCAACCTTCAAAAATCAAAATCCCACCAATTAGTCTATGACTCAGGTCAAGCTGAAAACTCTTCCCTGGAATCATAATTCACTGCAGTTTCCACTGCAGTAGGCTGCAAAGGGCATTTTTATTTTTTTTCCTTGTTTATGGGAAATCCACATGTCAAACTGAATCCAAAATTCTTACATTGCGGTAAGTCCAAAAACCCCCAGAAAATTATAATTGAATATTCTTGACTTCAAAGAAATATTCAGTTGTAGGTGTGTTGTATTTTGTGTTAGCACTACACAAACTCTCAAACAGCTACTTACATTGAGGAAAATTTGGAGAAATCAGTGCTGCTTAGGAAACCATTTTCTGCCTTTCTCCAAATTTTAGACCTATTAGAACCTACTACTGATTATTTTCTACAAACATATATGTTTTATTCTCAGTTAAATTCATTCAAAGTGTTCTGCTATACAGTGTGGATTTTGGATGTAGACAACGGTTACAGTGATACCTCGCTTGTTAAATGGCTGCAAGATTAAACTTCCCACTACTCCAACAGCAAAGTTCAAAAAACTCTGCCCAGTGAACTTCACTGAAAAACTTGTACCAAGGACATTGTATCCTACCACAGCACAAAGGGTGGTGCTTCACACCCAAATGCCGCTCTCACATAGGGCTCATGTTAGTGCAGTAAAATATGCATTATTGTTTTTCTTTTTCCCCCTACACTTTATTTGCTCAAAATATTATAACTCTGGCTCCAAAGCAAGCTAGTGATACCAGCAGTAAAGGTAAGAGGAAAACGGGGAAGACCACAATAGAGTTAAAGAAAGAAATTGTAAAATATATTAAAGTCCTAGAAAAATGAATTTATAAGTGTAATTTTGGGGCCTTAAAAACCAATTATCTGATTTTTCTGTTATTATGGGGAAAATATGTTTAGTTCTTGAACTTTTCAGTATTCAAACACAAATTTGGAACAAAGTTCAACCACTGAGTTATCGTACTAAGAAATGTATGTACGCTAACATTACTTGCTTACCAGCAAGTTTTAAAAGGTTAAGGAAAAAATTTTTTGGTTTTTAGCTAAAATTTTTAAAATACTTACTATGCATTATATATTCCACATCATAATGGTTTAAGGCCTCAATTAAAAACAAAGGCACTTAGTCTTGTTTCCACACGTTACCACAGAGCTTATCACATAAGTCTGTGACCTAGGATAAAACAATTAACCTTTCCAAATCTCAGCTTCCTCATTTATGCTATGGAGTTAAGAATATGAACTACCTCATAGAATTTTGATAAAATAAGCTCAAGGACTTCAAGAAGTATACAATGTAGACCAAGTGTTCAGTAAGAATTAGTCCACATATACAACAAATTTTACTTGCTATACTTGCTAAACATCAGACATTTTAAAGTGCATAAGAAAATCAGTAAACCCACTTCCATTGGTTACATGGTACACTCCACCCCAGGATGTATCCTCATCCTAGTATAACATTAGTTGTAAAAAGATTATTTACCAATGCAGGGAAGGATTTGAGATCAACCTGGGTTATCTAGGTGGTCCTTAAGCCAGTGGTAAATATCTTAATGAGATGTGGAGAAGAGCCACATGGAGGAAAAGGAGAAATCCAGGGAAGGACAGAGGCAGAGGTTAGGATTATGTAACCATGAGCCAAGGAATGCTTGGAGCTATAAGAATCTTGAGAAACCATTCTCCCCTAGAGGCTGGAGACAGACCAGGCCACCAAACTTTTAGACTTCCGGCCTTCAGTACTATGAAAGAATAAATTATTTTGTTATAAGCCACCAAGTTTGTGTTAATTTGTTACACCAGCCATGGGAAACTAATACATCCATTATGCCTTAAGGACAACTGTGTACACTGTTGATTAACACATAATCTATTGCAATATAAAACTGGATGATTTTTAACAGAGTTCACAAATACTAAAATACTCTATTTACATGTAATGAAACTAACAATATGGTCCTCAAAGGACACTCATCTCGTTGAGTGCTTCCATGACTTTTAGGTCTGCCTTTCTCTGGTGTGGCACCACAGTTAATGCTGCCCACAGAAAGGATGGGGTCACTTCAGAGACCCACCCTCTCTCTACTCCCCTGGTTCATGTTATCTTGTCCTTCCTCAAAGAGAACAGATTTAAGGGAAGGGTCTTTCTTGGCTTCACAACAAAGAGGGAAATGAATACAGTTGTCAAACTCAGGGATGAGTCCACCAATCAGATTTAGGCAGAGGCTGAGGAGAGAGTGGCCCAACAGAAACAAACATGGATTAACAGAACAAATGGAATGCTCTGCTTTTAAAAAAGGATTCAGAAAAATCAAAGACCTAGAAGAAAACTGTACATATAAGAAAAATAAACAGTTCTATTTCATTCTGTTACAAGTGAGTTTAATCATAACCTCTTCAGGACCTTTTGTGGCCTATAAAATGGCATTTCCCAATCAGAAGTCAGCAATGTCAACCCAAAAATCCACTCACCTGTTCTTCAATTGAAGTCAAAAACATAAAAATTTCTTTTCAGATGTGTGCTGAGGTAAACTCTTCTTAGTGAAAATAGTCAAGGCTGTCCTAATGATCACAGTGACCAAAGGATCGGCCAATCCCATCAGATCCCCTCAGATCCTCTTGATGGGCTCTGTACCCAGCTTCCATATTCTTCATTCCCAGGTTCTAATCACAACTGCAATCATCAGTTTCCATTACAGACGCTACTTTACCCCACTTACTGAGCCAGGAGTTTACAGCTGCTATCCTCCACCCTGGCCTCCCACCCACTCAGCAGTCATTAAACAATTACTTGCTCCATGTCACAGAGCATCTTTGAGCTTAGGCCTTTCTGAGTCATTGCTTAATGTCACATGACTACAAAGTAATATTCCCGAATCTCTACATCTAACCACTCTCAGTCATGTGTGTTTTAGATAGATAGATGACAGATAAATAAATAGATAAACAGATAGGTATTTGTCTTTACCATCAAATATTTGTCCGTTAGAAATAAATTTCATTTCAGAAATAGAAAAAAATCATACTAAACTAATAATCTCTGTGTTCAAAAACAACATAAGTAAAAAACTTAAATGGATTATCTTATACGGCTAACAAACTAGCTGTGGGAAACATTCCAAAAGAAGCATTTAAAACATTCTGAACAATGACAGCAGCTCCATAATTTGTATGTTTTTGTGGCTGAGAATTTACTACCAAATTTGGCTTCTTAAATCCCAGCCATACCAGATTATGAGTCATGATGTTAATCTGCAGACCAAATAGAAATGCTATTCTGAGGAAAATGGATTTGAAGTGTCTCTAAAAGTTCTTCATCTTCTGTCATATCAAAGAAAAAGAATAAATGAAATATTTTAGTCTTTTGCTTCTTGGTCAGTAAGAACCTTGTGGTTTCAAATGAGGAAGGAAACTACCAGCCGTTCCAAAATAGCAGAGGAGAAAGATATAAAGAGAACAGCAGCAGAAAGAGAATAAAATATACATTGGAGAGAATGTGGGAGAAGAGAAAAAGCTCTGGACCTTATCAGGAGTTCTGGGTTCAAATTCTGAGGTTCTGCTCTGCAAACTGTTTTAGCCTCTCAGACCCAACTTTTCTTACCTTTGTAATGGGCGTAATTACATTTGCAGGGTTTTGGAAATCAGTTGAGGTATGGTACATAAAATACTTTTGTAAACTGTAAGTAACAGAAAATTTTGGCTTTTTTTCATTGATGTTAAACAAAAATTAGCCATGTTTGAAGCTGTGTGGCCGTTCCAGCTTCCACTCCGACAGCATCACTTATCTGACAGAGAATTCCCCTTCTGTCCTCTCCTCATGTCCAGCACTGGCCTCTCTGCAGCACCCACCTTGGAGAGTTCGCTTTCTTCCCACGGTTCTCTGGACTTTTTAGATGCAGAAATGCGAGAATGGGGGGAAAAAGAGAAGGAAAAAAGCGAAAACAAATGTTAATGACAAAAAGCTGGTAAGAGGGATATAGAAATAGGAGAGAAGCAGTATTGTGTGTTGAAGATACAAGAATTCCTAACTGATCTGAAGAGAGAGGAGCTGGGACAACTCCAACATGTGAGGGTTGACTGAGAAGCTCTGCTGTGGACTGTGTATTCAGAGCCTATCACAGATTCCCAAAATTCAAATAGAGAATTCCTAATTACCTTTGGCTTTGAAAATGTGATTCTTGAACAAGATGTGGCTTCCGGACTGAGCCAGATGGGCCCCTGGATTTATAAGTGTTATAAACCATGGCTGGATGGATTGAGAAGTTTGAACTTATCAAGGTATAAACATGAATTATTTTATCTTTCTAGTAACTACCACCAATTGTGCTCTGCCAAACAAGTTCTCTACAAATATGTGGAATCCTTAATGACACCTCAGCCTAATTTCACAGGCTTTAAGTCACTTTTAGTTATGAAACAGCCCCATTTGGGTTACTGAGGTAACCCTTATTTCTGTTCAACTCTAGAGTTTTTCCCCTGGCTTATGGCAGTAGCACTGCTGCTCTGATCTCCTGTAGGTAATATTATCTGCTCTTTCTTTCCTGTGCTTCCCTATTCCCTGTGCTGTTGCTTCTTCTATTCCTTTTACAGATGCTGTGGCAGCTAGCTGTCTTCTTCATTGGTTAAAAGCATTTCTTTCCTGTTAGAGAATAGCCCTTTCCTGGGTTTCCCCATGCATCTCATGGTGCACCTCAGTGGTGCAGTTAGAGGTCTCTCCATCAGTCCTACCAAGACATTCATTCCTATGCACCCTACCACCCCCACTGCCTTGGTTTTTAATTTTTTCAAAAGCAACTGTATCTTCTACTGACTCCGAGCAGATGTTCTATAATGAGTCTCTTTGGCCCATACAAAAGAGGTTCCCACCCACTAGAGGCCTCCCTAAGCTCATCCATTCTCTGTATTTCCAGTTGGAGAACCTTTAAATGTGCTGACCCCTCTTCAGTAGCACTGTCAAAGAAGGAACTTGTTCCTCACTCCTTTCCTGCCAGTACTATAACACCCTCTCTCCAGTGTTTTATCCCACCCAGAGAGCAGTGGGTGCCCCCCGCCCAACAGATACTATTTTCTCTCTGTCTCTCTTAGCTCCTGGGAAAAACAAAAAAAAGGCTTGGTGAGTACTTGCCCACAGGAGAGATAAGTGTCTTGGTCCATCAGTGCTGCTGTAACAAAATACCAACAACTGGATGATTTAGAAATAATAAATCAGCCAGGGGTTTAACTCAGCAGCACAAGCACCTGCCTAGCAAGCGCAAGGTCATGAGTTCAATCTCTGATATAAAAAGAAAGAAAGAAGGAAAGAGAGAGAGAGAGAGAGAGAGAGAGAGAGAGAGAAAAGAAGAAAGGAAGGAAGGAAGGAAGGAAGGAAGGAAGGAAGGAAGGAAGGAAGGAAAGAAGGGAGGAAGGAAGGAAGGAAGGAAAGAAGGGAGGGAGGGAGGGAGGAAGGAAAGAAGGGAGGGAGGAAGGAAGGAAAGAAGGGAGGAAGGAAGGAAGGAAGGAAGGAAGGAAGGAAGGAAGGAAGGAAAGAAGGGAGGGAGGGAGGAAGGAAGGAAGGAAGGAAGGAAGGAAGGAAGGAAGGAAGGAAGGAAAAGCTAATAAATCATCAAGGATCCAGAAGATTAGTGTCTGGTGAAATCTACTTTCTTCCTCCAAGATGGCACTTTGTTGTCTACCTCCAGTATCAGAAGAGAGAAACACTGTGTCCACCCCTAGCAGAAAGTACAGAAGCAAGTTATGCTTGAGATCCTTTATGAAGCATTAATCCTTTCATGACAGCAGAGCCCTCATGACACTCACTTCCCAAAAGGCCTCAGCTCCAAACAGCATCACAATGAATAGTAAATTCTAGGGGCTGGAGATTTAGCTCAGCGGCATAAACGCCTGCCTTGCAAGCAGGCAGTCGTGAGTTCGATCCCCTGTACCGATTAAAAAAAAAAAAAAAAGAAGAAGAAACAAAAACAACGAATAGTGAATTCTAACATTCAAGTCACAGCCATGAGCTTCAGCAAAGTATAAAGGTTATGTGGCCCCTGAAGCAAGCCTGCCTGAGATCCAGCCTCAGTCTTACCATTTACTGACTGGTCATGCTGGTCATTGTCTGCTGTGGTTTAAATCATAGGTGCTCGGAGGTTCAGCTTTTGGAAAGTGATTTAATCATAGGAGCACTGCACTTACCTGTGGACAAGTTCAGAGCTAAATGTACTGTTAGGAGGTGAGGCTGGCTAGATGGAGAGTCAACTGGGGTCCTGACATGGAAAGATGCATCTCCCTCCTCAACTCCTTCCTCCCCTCCCTGCTTACTGACAGCCGCTGTGTGAACAGCTTTTCCTCCACAATGCTTTTTCTGCCCTGGAGCTAGCCGATCACTGACTGTAACTGTGAGCCAAAATAAACCTCTCCTCTTTAAATTGTAGGCAGCAGGTATTTGTCCCAGTGATGAGGAAAGGGACTAAGTCACTGTCCATGGCTTATCAGATCTGGATCCATTCTTTCATCCTTCTATCATGTATCCAAACTTTGTACCATATTTCAATATTACATTACCAAGTAGCTTACTGTTTTCTCCTATCTATAACTAGAAGAAAAGATTCAGAGACTCAGCTCTCTTGTTTCCAGCTACACCATCACTGAGCAGCAAAGGAAATCTATGGTTCCAATTTTCTAATTCTTGTGGCTTTCATGGCATCAGCCTGATGACACCCTTGAGCAGCACTAGTAGCAATCATGAGATTGAGCCCAATCCCCCCCGCCATCTGAATACCAACTAGCCTTGCCTTTATGGCTGCAGGGGCACCAAACAAGCCTTCCCATCTGCATGATTGACTGTGCCCTCCCAAAGTTCAGAGCACCAACCAACCATGTTATCTCCAGAGATCTGAGCATCTCAAAACTCTTTTAAGAATTAACTACTTGCTCTGCAGAGGCACCTTTGCCAGCCTCCCAGATTTTGGTGACACTCCTTTTCCCTTTCCAGTAGTTTCCAGAGATTCTTAATTAGTTGATCTTGGATAAGGCTTGAAATCAGAAATTTTAAATGCACCATTGTGCAGCCAAGATGAAAACCATTGCAATAAGGCATTTTACAAACAATGAGAAAAGTTTTATGCAGATGCATCTACCTGATATGATACTGGCTCTCTAAAACCATCAGCACATTTGCAAAATTGTTGATCACAGGTAAGGTGAGAGCAAGGATGGCTGTGTAATTAATTCTTGAAATCAGAAGTTAGCTATAGAAATCCCACATGCACAACACTAAATTCAGTACTACCCAGGACACAAAAAAGTAAAAGACATGATCCCTAATCATCAATTCATTTTAATTTAAAGGAATCAATACTAACAGTCACCAAAAAATTAAATAACTTTGCAGAGATAATAAGGAGGTAATTGGCATGAAAACACAAACTACAAGACTTTAAGTTAAAAATAATTCTCTAATGCTTCATGCATCACTGCAACAGGTGAACACATCTACCTCCACCTACAGGTCTCAGATTAGACTGCAGGTAATCCACACCAGGATCCACAGTCTCCAGGGGATTCTGAGAGGGAATTTTCAATAATAAATAGAAACATGGCTATGTATTCCATCCATTCCATTTTTCTTTAGGAAACAGTGCCCTACATCCAGGCACATGGCCCCCTCACCTTCACCCTCTCTCCTTACCTTGATTTGTGGGGTCTTTGCAGAAACTATCTTACTGGCTTTGCTACTGAACTGTTCCTTCAAGACTTAACCAAAATAACTGTACCAATCACAGCTGTAATCTCTGCCCTCACCTAATTGTTGCTAATCTTGTGTTCTACCAAACCCAGCTCAGGCCTCTCCCTGCCAGAACCCAGCCTTGCCTGTGTGCACCTCAACCCTACCTCCAAAACTCCCGGCACATCACCTTCATGACACATGAGCCAACAGCACCTAAGCTGCCCTCTCTTTGAAGTGGACTTCAGTCTGTATCTTGCAGTTTGGAACACAGCAGAGGATCTCTGAATTAACTGGCTAAAAGCAAGAAAGCACATTCAGTCACAGAAATGACCAAGTTATATCTCCTTCTTTTTGGAGAAGAAAGTGGAGTGAACAGATTCACACAACTCTAAATAACAACATGACACAGGAGTGCCTCATAAAACTTCTCACAAGTCTTCCCTCTACGTTTAACTTTGTAAGGGAAGCTGTGCTATTTTCATGCCCACTTTGTGACTGGAAAAACTGAGGCCCTAAAGGTAGGTTTGGAAGACTTAAGACCCTTCCAAAAGACTCCACTCATCAACTAGCACTTGTCTAGGTCCACATAGCCCAAGCAGAAATCAGCTGCACAAGCTTTGGAGAAAGTTTTGGTTGCACTCTTGGGTACAGAGGTGCCAAGACATCAGGAGAAAAAAGCACCCTTCTTTCTGACTGTTAGTCTTATAGCTTTCATAAGCATTAAATTAATTTTAAGATCTAGAGTCTCTCAATGGAATTACAGTCCTCTAACTCAGTTTCCAGTTACTTATTCTATATTAATAATCCTATTCTATGACTGGCCATTTGGAGAGAGAGGAGTTGATCTTATGAAATTTTAAAGTAAACCTGTTACATTCCCAGGAGGGCTCAGTATGACAGAACATATTACAAGAGATTGACAAGAAAATATTTGGGTAGCCGGACATTCTCTGCAGCAGCAATAAGATATTTAAATGACTTATTTGGAGTGAAATGATACTTCAAGAAAAGAATGACTGGCATAGAGAAATTTTTTCGGTGGGTAAGATATGCCTCAACTAAACATGTAGGGAAACCATACAAATCTAGTGGTGTTTGGTTTGTCTTCCTCATTTTGAGATTTCCATTAGAGAATTCTTTTCTCACATTACCATAGCACAGTTTCCCAAGGATGAAG